TGATTTGTGATTCTCTTGTACGTAATTTTTGAGAATTGACAGCTTCTTTCCACCTTTTTGCTCAATGAGAATTGATCGTGTACTAGGTTTCGTGCTTTCTTGTAGCCTCAATGGTAACTTACTCGTGTACCTCAAAGGACTTTCGTCCTTAAAAGAGATGACATGTATAATAACTCAATAAATTTATATCAATATTACATGTATTGTTTTTTATACCTCACTCCTTTTTAGCCTTTTTAGATCTACAGCAACACCTCAGGAACACAAATTTTAAGGTTTTGTAGACAATAAGTAGGGTTATGAAGAGTACTGATAGCAGGGCTGCTATGACATCTATAGAGTAGTACTGGATGATGTTGAGTTTTGTTCCTGCTGGCACCAGGTTGTCGAGGGTCTTGAATTCAGCTACAAACTCTGTCCATTTGATGAGAAGATGTTCTGGACTGACTGGCTTCTTCTGGACCATCAACGACAAACGTTTCGCGTTGCGGGAATACATGAAAAACATATAATTAATTACTCATGCAAGAATTCAGCAATATCTTTATATCGTCACTCTACACTTACTTATCGTTCTCTAAAACTTCCTTGACAGCAGCATATAGAGTCTCTTCACTGAGTTCCCCTTTTTTGACGTTCACCGCAAAACCGTGTTTGAAGGCGATTTTGGAGTTTTTGAACTGGTCGCCGAAAAGAGCGATAGTGATGAGAGGAACGCCAGCGTTGATTGCCTCCTTAATAAAATCCAAGACAAGAATACAGTCGAAGAAGCAATTTTAATTTATTATATTTATATTTATTTTTTTAGTAAGTACGAAAACTCACTGATAAATCATAACATGAGAGAAGAAAATTTACTTTTGACGACACAAAATTGTTTTTGATTCGCATTTCTTATGGGCTAGCTGTAGCATGAAACCTCGATCTACTATCGAAAATCATAGAAAGGCTATAGCGGGCTGTAGAGCATCGGAAGTCGATAGTACGGCAGTAGTGAGATAGTTATAAAGCACAAATGACCCGCATTCCACGTGCTATGTCGTCATGTCAGACCTTTAATAAATCTCAAATCGCGTTTCGCCTCACAAAACGAGACACTCCATCCTTCCTGGTTCGACAAATATTTGTAAACTTGAAATGAATAGTAAAAGTGTAGGGTACAATAAATAAAAATTATTGGTGCTGGACTCGCCTGGGAGAGTAAAAACGCTGTTATATGCAGTGAAGGGGGCCCTCAAGTTGTCGTATGTGCTATATCGCAACCAAATACTACAATTCTGAGTCTAAATCGAGTTCGTGGGGCATCGAGGAGGGACCTCGTTCAAGGCGTAAGCTCTATCGTTCTATCAAAGTTGTAGGTAATCTTAATGGTTGTGAATTTGAATAACTTCGCCAGCCCGAGCCTCATCATCCCTGATGAACATAGCGATAGTACCTGAAGACTGTTGTACCCGCCGTGTGAAATGAATGCTTTCGTTTTCGGATGCAGGAGGAGATCAGCTTGAGGAAGCCATGAGAATGTGTGGCACAGTTGCGGTGCGAAGACGACTGTTGATCCAGAGCTATTGCAACGTCAACCTCGAAAATGCTCTTTAAAGGACGAATTCACGATGAAAAAGCAACCCATTTCAAATTAACCTAGGGATGGTGAGTGGTACACGAAAGAAGGAAGAACCATGAGAAACGGCCCAGAACCCGAGAAATGGGTACCCCTTCCTTGCCCGTTGATTCGAGCATTGATGCTCATCGCTGTGCCCTCTTCAACACTACGCTCTCTCAGCTATCTAATCACTCGCCACGTATTGAACTACGGCGAGTGATCAGATGATCGGTGGGCGGAGATCGCCGGACCCGCCAGCTTTGAGGCATGATAGGTCGCCGAGGTCAAATTTTTCCATGCGAATTGCGCGTCAGTTCGCACCCTCAGGAGGTCCGTGGGTCCCTCAACTAGGTCAGTTTCCCTTTCTTCGACCTTCATTCTAATCGTGAATTCCTCCTTTAAAGGGAACCTTCGCGCGAGCAAACGGGCAGAGATATTTTGCTCGAAAGTAAACGTGGCGATGGGATTTGATACAACGGTAACTTGAAAGAAAGCAAAAACTAACCCAGAATCCTTCAACAAGTAGCGCGCCGATCGTATGGACGGGGTTTGCATCCCTCCCTCACGCGAATCTTATGGGATAGCCGTCCAGCCTGACAAAGAATAGTATGACAAAATTGTTGGGCGTATCAGTGAGATTTTAGTAGGGGCATAGCGTAAACTCAGCATCCATAGGGTTTATGTAACTTTGAGGGTTGTCAGGATTTTTCTTGCTTTCCTTCACCAATGATGGGCCGAAAGAATTCTTATACAATCCCCCACTCCTATTCAGGTGTGGAATGTGCACTTACAAAAGTGGAAGTGGAAGCTTACTGAAGCACAGTCAATTCAAACCTTTCAAGTCGTCCAACACGTATCGAATCACGAACTGATAATCGGGGAATCGAGCAAAAGCTTTCAGAAGAGCTGTTTTCCAGTGCTCGGGCATCCACTCCGTCTGTGCCACTGATCCGAACGACATCACTATCAGCCCTTTTCCAGTTTCCGCGATTTTCTTGAAGGTCTGAAAATTTCATATCATTGCTGGGAATCTTCGGAAACGTCTGATTTTCACCTGTGCAGTCCCTACAACTAAGGCATTGTATGTATGAATTGTTTGTACTGCCCTACAGAAATCGTGTGAAGAGCCTAAATTCGATCTATCGTAAACCAGCCTCCCATTGGTCATTCATGACGCCGTGGGCGTGACAGGCCGTCTTTAAAGGCAAGCTTCGGATAAGATTGGTTGTGGTAAAGCGTTCAGTTATGAAGCTAGAGGTGGCAGGTGGTCTAGGAAAAGAGAAGGAAAGCAAACGAAACCACCGATTACGCCCGTACAGAGACCTCCCCTATTTCAGCCGCATTCCACCTTGGGATAGAGAAGGGGCGAATTGGACGAGTTTCACGAACCTAACTCTAGTTGCTCCAGTGCGTAAGCACAGTGGTCGCAGCGCGTGCTTCAATTGCGAGGCGTCCGGCTTTTCAAACAGTACCACGTGGGAACCGACAGCGGAGGGTGGGGCCAGGGTCAACCATGTCTTGCGCAAATTCCAAAATTTTTACGACCCATTTCCTTTTCGGAGGGTATCGGTACGACCCTTCCCCCTCTGAACACCAGTTGGCGCCGCACGCATTGCGCGCGCAACACAGATCTGCGGCGAATTTTGATGGTGCGACGAAAATTTTCAAATTTGGCTTGATACACCACGAATATCTGAATTCTCAGCTAAATTCTATCCGCTCCATCATCGACGGCTTTCAACCTCTTTTTCTTCGTCAACCATTATCCTCTTTTTCCCGGTCTCCGGACTGCTTCCGGACAATAAATCTCGTGGCAAACTCCGCCTACTTCGGTGCGTGCTCCGCCCACCAATAGCATTTGGCCCCCTTCCTTTCGCCGACTCTACCCTTTTTCACCGGTCTCTGGGACCTCTTGGAAGCAGCTGATCTCTTTTCCCTCGCCAACCTCTAACCCCGTTTTCCCTATCTCTAGGACTTCTTGCAGCCGAGTTATGAATTTTCGTCGCAAACTCCGCCCACTTTGGTCAAGCCCCGCTCACCGGTGATAGCTGGGCTCCACTCCTCCACCCACCTCCATCCACCTTTTTCCCTGCCTCCGGGACTTCTTGGAGCCGAATTACAATTTCGGCGCAAACTCCGCCCATATTAGCGCACGCTCCACCCAACCGTAGCAGTTAACTTCTCTTTCTTTGCTGACCTATATCCACTTTTTTCCCGTTCTCCAGGACTTCTTGGAACCAAGTTATGAATTTTCCTGGGTAACTCCGCCCACTTTGGCCATGCTCCGCCCACTAATGGTATTTAAGTTCCACTCCTCCACCCACCTCTACCCACCTTTTTCCGTGCCTCCGGGACTTCTTGGAGCCGAGTTATGAATTTCCGTCGCAAACTCCGCCCACTTTGGTCAAGCCCCGCCCACCGATGACAGCTGGGCTCCACTCCTCCACCCACCTCCATCCACCTTTTTCCCGGCCTCCGGGACTTGTTGGAGCCGAGTTATGAATTTCATTCGCCCGCCCACCATTGATAGCTGGCCTCCACTCCTCCATACACCTCTATCCACCTTTTTCCGGCTCTTTAAGACTTCCCCGACCCGAATTATGAGGGCTTGTAGAAAATGCTGTACACTTCAGAGCGCGCCCCGCCCATTCTGGGCGGGCCTCCGCCCACGTCATGTATGCAGGAAACACCTTAGACATTGCTCCCTTACACCAAATTGTTTTCTGCTCTGTAGGCTTTCTCCCAACCGAGTTATGAAATTTTTCATAAAGCACTGCTTTTTTAGAGAACGCCCCGCCCACCGGGGGTGGGTCTCCCTAATTCGATGTGACTTACCAATGCACACCTTTACCCACTTTTTGGCCCAGTTTCGAGGTCGTTTTGTCACTGAAATCGAAATCTTGGTCTTCGGTACAATTCATTTCGACGCACGCCACGCCCTCTGTGGGCGGGGCTCCGCTTAGCTGATGTGTGTTTTGTATTACGTGAGACCCTGCCCACCCATCCCACACTTGACCCGGTCCCTCCAGGCGGATCCCGAGGAGCTAGGGAATTTCGTGACAGACATACAGAACGACACGACAGACGACACACGACAGACGAAGCGCTTTATAGTAAGTAGGATCTATCATGTCTTTCACATAATTTAATGCTCATCAATGCTCATCAATGATGGCAGTCACCAACATGGAGAAGTGGTGGACCGTGGTCAATCCGCGCGCTTTGTCTCGCTCAGAGGAGGAAATCGAGGCAAATGAAGTTTTATTCATTAAATAGAAGGAATTTCCAAATTTTTGCGTAAACCAATACATCATTTTAATCGTAAAGATTTCTACTTTCAGAAACCCACCAGGATTTTTTCGATCTCTCAACTTTCCTTACCTTATAATCTGAAAAACTAAACCTTGTAGCAATTACATTGCAATCCAAACCCCTCCATTCAGAAGCTTTATATTTTCTTTCAGAAGCTGTTCTCATGGAACCGGACACCAAAATTTTAAAAATATAAATAGTTTTCTTCCTAAAAAGCATTTTGAAATGTTGCGGATGTTCAATATTTCAAAAAATCGTCCCGTTGTTCCGTTTTCTGTGCACACGCGAGTTTTTGACATTCAAACATTCATAACTTTCTTCATAATCAACTTTTTGCAGATGTCTAAGGCTAATTAGAAACTAGAAGATTAGAGCTTTCGAATAAGTGCTAAAACTTCTTGAAAATAATCACTCGCTCAAAAATAGTCCCGTTGTTCCGTTTTTTCCACCTTGATTTTTTTCAAGCCATTTTCCTGGACCGCGACTATGCAGTCTTCAAAGGCCCATAACTTCCTTCAAAATTAATGTGATGAGAAGCGGTAAAGATTGTTGGAATCCACTCGAAGAGTACTTCATAACAGCTGTGAAATTTTCCTGAAATTCCTTCTTCTGCCTCAATTTTCCTACGGCGTCTCTAGAACTCAATTCAGCAAATTCGCTACACTTTGTTTCGCTTAGATTTGATTTGAAAGCATCGAAATTCTCTTCAGGAAGTTTGTCTGCTTACGGCCGCTGACAGAGAAGGCGTTTTTATGGAAAACGCCTGCTCGGGTATACGCGCTCGCATTTGAAAGTTCTCCATTTTCCTTAACAAGGTGTTAGTATCATGATTGACTTGCACTGTACTGTTGTACTGTCATATGGTACCCTTGTTTCACTCGCCCGATCGAATGCCTACACATGTTCTCCTTGAGATTTCAGGAATGTTCGGTCATCGAAGACAGGCCATGTTTTTGCACTTGTAACAAAGTTTTTGGCCATTGTAATCTTGATCTATGCTGTCGAGTGAAGTGCAGGTCCGTTGTATATTAAAGGGAGGAATTCACGATTAGAAGGAAGGTCGAAGAAAGGGAAACTGACCTAGTTGAGGGACCCACGGACCTCCTGAGGGTGCGAACGTGGCGCGCAATTCGCATGG